CACACACACACACACACACACACACACATTATGTCTCCCACACAAACACCCTGACATATATATTACTAAATTAAATGTTGTTGACCTGATTACAACCCATCTCACTCTCTCTCTAACCCTCCTGCAGACACTATAGACCTACTGCTATACTTGGTCTGATAAATCTCACCCTTGTTTCCAGTGTTGGGAGTCATCATCTCACTCCTTCATCAATAGAAAGTGAGTCTCAGCCACAGTATGAATGGCTCCTCATGCAAATGTTATTTAGTGCATCATCTGACATTTGAACCCAAGGGCTCCCGAGCTCTTACCTTGGCCGTGCAACATGTGGCAGCAGCTGCCGAGGAGGAGCAGGAGAAACACGGGCAGACACCGGCTCCCTCTCCGGGTCGTCCCGCTCCCTGTAATCACCGGCCGGCTCCCCGCTGCGGGTCCCTCCGCACGCTCCGGGGAGCCATCGGGGCGGCTAATTCCCGGTTTCATCCCGCGGGAGAGAAGAGAGGGGGAACGCATTCGCTTTGGTGCTTTCGCTTTCTGCAACTCTCTTGGGGAAGAGGAGGTCCAGGTGGAGAGGGACCGGGATTCAGCACCGGCAGCTCCGAGCTTTCTCCCCCCCTCCCAGAAGATCCGAGAGTTCACCGCTGTCACAAGCTCCCCCTCCCCGTGCTGTGAGTTCCCAGGCTCCGGCGTCCAACACCCGGCAAGATGAAGAGGAGGATGCAGATGAAGATGGAGGAGGTGGTGGTGGTGGTGGTGGTGTGGTGGATTCCTGACCAGCAGAAAGACTTTCTGGTCCCCGGTGAATGTGTCTGTGTTCACGGTAAAACGGCCCCGTGGTCCCTGCGTGCTGCGGCTGAGTCCCGGTTCAACTGCGCCCTGCGATCCCTCATCTTCATCTGGACCGATCGAAGCACGGAATTAATACAGTTGAGTGTGTTTTAGACTTATCGGCTTATTCCCCGCTATAAGAGCTCAAATCCCCGCTTGTTTTGATGTCTTCACCGGGGGATTTGTCCCGTGGATCATTTAGCTGTTTAGACGGTGCTCGTATTAACAGAGAAGCGATAAAAACACATAAATCACCCACATGTGTGTGTCCAAAAAAAAAAAAAAAAAAAAAAAATCAATCCACTAATTGATTCTGAATCCCGCTGCTGTCTTGTCTGCTCAAACAACCCGGGGACCAGCTCTTCCCCTCCTCCCGGGTGTGTTTTCCTGGGGATGGAGAAGCGAGGGCTGCGGTGGCAAGTTAAGCTAATTAACCGGTTCACCCCTAAAATGACTCTCCCGCACAGGGCACTCTCTCTTCGGATACCTCGCCGTGATACGGTGCTGCTGCTGCTGCTGGAGGCGACGACTCGGGTTACACGGAAGAAATGACACAACAGGTTATTATCCCGGTTGGTGGGGGGAAAGAACAAGCACAAACCCCGCTTAAGTTTGTCAGCAACCACGCAGAGTTGTGTAGCTCCTATGCTAACACGCTGCTAACGGAGACTTCATTGAGAAAAGTGGCTAAAAATCGACCGTTACACGGAGCCGCTGCTCCCGCTGCGACACCGGAGCCTTCCCCCCCCCCTCCTCCGCGTCCGCGTCCAGAGTCTTCTCAGCCACAGTCCACACGGCGGGGAAAAGGACACCGCTCTCGGTGTGTGTGTGTTGTGTGTTATCGTGGTCCGCTTATGGAGCTTTTTTTCAGGGGTTCTTATCCGCCGCTCCTCTCCGTCCTGTGCGCACCCTGTTGAGGCTCCGGGAGCCGACTGGAGGCGATGAGTCTCCCTCCCGCTGAACACCTGCCGCCCTCCGCCCCCCGCCGCCCGGCGCACGCTCGCCAGTGGTTCCGGTGGAGAGAGACGCGGAGAATGGGGCCGCTGCTGCAGGCCGCGTTTAGGAGACTTCGGTGGCGGGGTAACGAGTGTCAACGTCCCGCTCTCTCCTCCACACTTCTCCCTCAGCCTCGGTGCTCATCCCTCGATCTGTCCCAAACTCACTCACCAAACTTCTGCTCACCGTCATCTCTCGGCGCCGATTGGTCGAGCCGGGAGCTTGCTCTGTCCCCATTGGTCGATCCGAACCGAGGGGGCGGGAAGAGACGCAAAGCATATATACACACACATACACATACACACATACACACACACATACACACACAAACACACACAGAAAAGAAGTTACCACAAGTTTTTATAAGTTTATAAAGTCCCCCCCAAGTAGACAGAAAATAATTTATTACAAGTTTTTATAAGTTTTCATAGTCCCCACATATAAACAGAAACTAAGTTATTAGAAGTTTTTATAAGTTTTTATAGTGCCCCCACATACACAAAGAAGAAGTTATTACAAATTTTTATAAGTTTTTTGTAGAAAATAAGTTACTATTACAAGTTTTGATAACCGATACAGAGGCGGATCTTGGATCTTTGTAGATCAGGGGCTGTTCAGGGGCCATTATCTGCACAGCGGGGCCGGTACCCACGTCCAACTCCTGATTCAAGAAGGTGCACATTCAAGTCATTCATATTTTTTGACTTTGTCTTTGCTGTTTTTTCCTCAATTAAAAAAAAAAACAGCAAAGAAAAAGTCAAAAAAATGGTGTAAATGTGTTTGGTGAGTCAGTAACAGGCAGGAGACAGTGAGAAGAGTA